GGCGCCGCCGCAGGCCGAAGTTCCCAGGCTGCCCGCTCGCCGTCACTTTCCCAGTCTTTATTCCATTCACCCACCCGGGAGGGATCCTCGTCCCATTTCCCAGCAGAGGAGGTGGCTCAGAGACGTCCCGGAGAGCCAGTCCAGAGATGCTCTGGTTTCCCTAACTCCCTCCTGGCCCCTCCAGGAGTCTCCTGCCAAGGCACCACATCCGAGGGGTCAGAGGTGGCCCTCGGCTCCGTCAGGGGGGCCAGGCCAGCCAGGCAGCATTTCGAGCGAGCGAGCGAGCGTCAGAGCCCCACCAAAGGCCCCCGCTAAGAATGCAGGTCAGCGGGAGGAGCTGCAGGGGAAGAAGGGGTGGCCCCGGCCCTGCCCAGACAGGCCCAGCCGGCCCCACAGCTGCCCTCCTGTCCCTGGGGGTAGTGATGGGGGGGAGGGGACTCACCGGGTTCCTGGGGTCTAACTCCTCAGAACCCGGGAGACAAAAGAGGCGCCTGCCGGAGCGGGGCAGGCTTGAGGTCACAGGAAAATACCTGCCCCTCCTCCTCCCAGCCTTCTAAATCCAGCGGCAGATGGAAAGGAACCCTTGGCCCTGAAACCAACACGGTTTCCTCTGTAACACCTGAATCATTCTGATTCCCCCATCCCAAGCTGCCCTAAACTCTGTGACCCTAGAATCTCCCAAATAAGTGATGGAATGGGCCAACCTGAGTATCGGATTCGGCTTTGAGAAGTTGAGTTAGGGTCAGAGGGGAGGAAGTAGGAATCACGCTAGGGAAAAGTAATAATTCTGGCAAAAATGTAGGATGGGTTAGCGAATGAACACAATAACCTAGCCCTGCCCCCTTGGGGCCCAAAATGAATCCTCCATCAAACCCTCCTAGCTTTGGGGGTCTGGAGTCATGAGGTTTGTATCCACTTGACATGAGTTAGGCAACAACTGTGTGCCAGGCATTGAGAGGCCTGGGAAAATGTATACAGATGGGTATTTCTGCATATCTCCAAGGGCGGGCACACGACGGGTCCGGCGTGAGGATGTTTGTGTACACAATGGTTGTGTAACTGTGGCAGGTCTCTGGTTGTGAGTTGCAGGAGCCTTTCCCTCCTACCTTCCAGCTGGGCGAGAGCCCATCAGATATCTCAGCTGCCTTTCATCGCCTTGTCCCTGATAGGGATCATCCTGGGTGAAGAAATCACTGCCAGTCACCCCCGGCTCGGTCACAGCCAAAGGGATGGACTGGCATGCACCCCCATGGGGGTGGAGTGAGAGAGTCAATGACTGGGAAGGGAAGGAACCAGTGTTCTTAGCAGGGGAGGGAAAGAAGGGGCTTGCATGTGGAGGAGGTTTCTCTAGAACCTTCTCATCTTCACAGGTGAAGACCAGGGAGAGACAGCCCAGCTATCGGCCCAGTGGGGGCACCTCCCTCCTCCATACAAGCCACCACTGGGGCAGCATCAGACCCCGGCTCCAGCCCAAGACCCAGCCCAGTGGGAGTGAGGCTTCCCAGGGACCGCAGGGTGAAGGGCAAGTGTCCACCCCATTCTGCAGCCTAGACCTGGTCCTCGCGGCCAAGGGCCACTGAGTCAAAAAGGAAACGGAGCTGGAACATAAAGAAAGCATGATGCGGTTGATGACTTTATTGTTGCATAAAAAACACAGGCTGTTTCTTCCTCCTCCTCCCCCCCAAGTGGGTTCACAGCAGTTAAAGAAAAAAAATTCCTACATCTTTCCTCTAGGGGGCTGCCTAGAAAGACAGGCAGCCAAGCAACCTAGATCTATGAGGGAGCAGAAGAAAACCTATCCAAAGCCCCCATCTGCATACCTAAGAACTCGGGGCCTCTATGGGGGGGACATCTATGCCACTCCCCCCACACCCACGTGGGAACTCCCCATTCGGACGGTCACTGGAAAAGACTGTCTTGGTGGCACAGGGAGGGGGTGGGTGGTTTCCATCGGGGGAGGAGAAAGGCATCCCACACCTCCTCCCCCTCCACCTGGCCAGGCAACCTGTGGCAGTGGAGCTCTCCCACCCCCACCCTCTCAGCAAGGAGGGGACTTCACCCGAGGGAAAAGAGGGAGAAGAAAGAAAGAACATTACTTCTTAAACTACCCCAGGCCAGTGAGCCCCTCGGCAAAGTCACCCTGTCCCTTTTAAGGTGGGCCCCTTTCTACACAAACATAGTTTCCCACCCAGATCCCAGCCCCCACTTCCCCTGTTGCCCCCAGACCTTGACCTGGCTTCCAGTACCCCCAAGGCAGGAAGAGATGCTTGTGTGCCTAGGCCCCAGGACCCTGGAGGGGGGTGAGTAAGATGGGGTCTCCCTGGCTGGAGACCCCAGGCTCAGTAGAGAAACACACACACACACGCATGCACACACACACAGGTACACACGACATGCACGCACACACTCCCTATTATTAAATAAAATACCCTTTGCTTATAACTTAAAAATCAATACACAGCTAATCCCCGCAGAAGGCTCTGGGTGGAGAAAGGGAGCAAGGGGGGAGAGGGGTGTCAGAGGGGATCTGAGGCTGCTCCCTCGAGGCTGGGAAAGCCCCCCAGCTCCAGGGGCCTGTGGCCTGCCAGACCCTTCCTCCTATCAGCTTCTTTCCCCTCTGCCTGGCCCAGCCTCTTGCTGGGCTTCTTCCCTCTCTCCTTTCCTCCCTCCCCGACCCCATGATCATAATCAAAATGTATTTCTAACATCTAAAGGAGAAGGGAGCGGGGACAGCCTCCTGGATGTCACCCCAGAAGGCAGAACCCCTTCCAGTGGGAGAGCAACTCCTTCATGTGGAAGGGGAGTTTCCCCCCTGAGACGGGATGAGGAGGAAGGAGCCTCCTAGCACACTCTACAGCAGGGGCAGGGCAAGGGTAAGGCCAAGGCCAAGCTAAAGAGAGAAGACTTTGCTCCTCGGCGATGCCAAGGAGATGGCCAGCCAGGGCAGAGGCCTCCACTCTGCGTGGAAGAGCCACTGGAGGTCCCTCTGCTGAGATATCCCCCATCTACCCCCAGCCCACCCAAGTAGCCCTCTTCCTTCTATCCCCAAGGGGAAAGCAACGACAGGAACCCAGGGTAAGGAACTACACCCGTTCTATCGCCGTGGCTATGGGCTGCCTTGAAAATCTACCTAGGTGGGGAATGCGGTCTACTGAGCTGGATTTTCATGAGGCCAAGTGTGAGGGACTGGAGAGGGGAGGGGATCAGTCCCCTCCATCCCTCCCTGAGTCCCTTTCTCTCATTTAGAACTTCCTCGCTCACCCCCACATCTAACTAACTCTGTTCTCCACCCCACAGCCCTGGCTAGGAAGCTGTGGGGGGGTTCCAGCCCTCTTCCTCCCCCCTCCCCCATCATGGCTCCATCAGACTGGGTCTGGAAGGGTTAATAAGGAAGGGCATCAAAGGAGTTATTTTTACAGCAACAACCCTCTGAGCCACATAGAGACACCCCGGCCATGGGGACCCCCAGCCTCCCCCACCCTCTCTCAACTCTCCCTCCGGAAACCCTAGGGGCAGAAGCACTATACACGGGATGAAAGGGACCCGGGCCGCAGGGCGGCTCCGGAGGCGCTTTTATGTCCCGGTTCCCAGGCGCTAAGGACGTGTCCAGACAGCCACCCCAGCGCCCCGGGTAGGCCCCGCTCCAGGACTCCAGGACAGGGACGCGCTGTCTCCTCTAGCCTGTCCTTTCCACCAGCCCTACCCCCAAGCCGCGGGAGGGGCGTCCCAGCCCAAACCCCCAGCCCGGGGCGAGTGAAACAACGAGGAAGGGGAGAACTCAAGCCGCCCCCCCAGGACGTCGGGCGGGGGGCGCTCCTCCGATGCCCCAGGAGGCCCCAGGGAGGCGGCACCGAGGGGCTCAGTTGGAGGAAGCCGCGCCGCCCTCGGCCTCGCGTTTGCCCTTGCCCCCGGGGGCCTCCCCTCCGCCGGCGGCCTTGCCCTCGCCCGGGGCCGCGCCGGCTGCCTCCTCTTTGGCGCCCTCGTGGGTTTTCATGTGCTTGGCCAGGTGGTCGCTGCGCATGAAGACTCGGCTGCAGACGGCGCAGGGGAACTTCTTGGTGCCCGTGTGGGTCTGGAGGTGGCGCTGCAGCTCGTCGGAGCGCGTGAAGCGCTTGCCACAGAAGAGCCAGTTGCACACGAAGGGACGGTCGCCGCTGTGCCAGCGCAGGTGTGCCTTCAGGTGCGACGTCTTGGCGTAGGCCTTCCCGCAGCCCGGGATGTGGCAATTGTGCAAATGCTTCTTCTTGCCCCCGTCGGGCCCACACGGAGCCCCCAGTCGCTCCGCCTCCAGACAGTTGGGACAGCGACACACGGTCTGGCCGGAGCTGCGGGGCACCGAGCGCCGGGAGCCCTTGGGCCGGGCCGCCCCGTCCAGACTGGAATCCAGCCCTTGAGACTCTGGGGCGGCGGCTTCCAAGGCCTTAGCCCCGTCGGGCGGCCCCAGGAGATGCTGCCCTCCGGCGGCTGGGAGGAGGTGGTGCGGGTGCGGGTGGGGTGGGGGGGCACAAAGCTGGTGGTCGCCGACGTAGCCCCCCAAGCCAGCCTGAAGCGCCCCCGGGTGGCCGGGTGAGGTCAGCGCGCCCTGAGTGTGGGGGAGGTCCATCCAGCTGGTGCCCGGGTGAAGGTCCCACCACGAGCCGTCCTCCGTGCCTGGGTGAGTCGGCCTGAACCATGATTCGTAGTGGTGTGACATGTCCGGCTGCAGGAGCTTGGAAAAGGGTCCCGGGGCCAAGGGACTGTCGCTCTCCAGGTCCTCGCAGGTTACCCGCGAGGAGGCCCCCGGCAGCTCATAGCCCTGGGAGAAGTCCACCTCCGGGCCCAGCGGGAGGCTCTGCAGCTCCCCAGGCTGCAGCGGGGAGGGGTAGTCCCCGGCCTCGGGGCTCGTGTGGCCCTGGTATGTCTGGAGAGGCTGCAGGTCGAGGCGCGGCGGGGAGGCGTGAGGCGCGTCCGTGTGCTGGCTGCCCAGAGAGCCACAGACAGCGGTTAGCATTGCCGGGATCCGGGGTGGGGTGGGGGACAGGGACGGTCAGGGGCACCTCAGATGGGACCTAGAGGAGGCAGAGAAGAGGAGAAGTAATGAAAGCAACCAGCTCACTTTCCCTCCTAACCCAGGAGCCCTCCTTGCAAAGGGCTCCTCTCCCGCCCCCAGGTGAAAAAAAAGACCGCACCTCAGGGTGGGGACCAGAGATCAGTCAAGAGAAACCGGGAGTGGGAGTTGAGGATGTGAGATTGTCAACCAAGGGCAGAGGATGATGGAGGTCTGCCTTCCTCCAGGTGATCCCTCCCATGGGACCCAGTTGGTCCCTGGACTGGGCTGCTCCCAGACCAGTAGGTCAGATGCATCCACAGTACAGGGCTAGAAGCACCCACCCCAACTGCCCAGGCCAGCACAGGAGGCATTTCCCCCCTTGCAGACCTGCTGCCTGGCCCAAATGGAGGATCTAGCCCCATCTCGGCTTCTCCAGTTTAACTCAGGAAACAGATGGGGACAAGGGATGGTCTGTTTCTGAAACCCACCCTTCAGAAAACCCAGAGAAGATTCTGAGTTTCTAGAGAAAGTTCTCATGCCATCTGACAGGCGTGTTCAGTGAGGAAGAGCAATCCACCCTCCAGCTCCCCACCTGGCCTGGTTGCATGGGCCTCACCAAACCTACTCCCATGGCTGGCCCTCACCCCTGTCCCTCAGGCAAGTACTTCACCTACCTGGGGTGCAGCTGCAGGGCCAGTTTCTGGGGCAGTTCCCCCACCAGAGAAAGCCAAGTCCCCTTCCCACTCCTGCCCCACACCAGTGCCAGCCAACTCTACCCACACCCTTCTCCACACCAGAGGAAACCCAGATATGAAGTAGGGAGGGAGTGGCTTCTCCAGAGACGGGGGCAGCCAGAGAAGAGCTAGCTAGTAAACTCTGGAAGGCACAATTGCCATCCCCAAAGGAATGCAGGGTCACCACCCTCCCCTGTCCTTTTTCCCTCTCGCTTTGGGGTTCTCCTCCTGGCGAGAGGATGGCAGAAAGAGGCCATGATCGCAGAACATAAGAGTAAGAATTCCCGAAAGAGATTATGTAAGGGGGTACATTCCGGCATGGATCATTTTTAGAAGCCCCCCAGATGATCCCAATATGCAACCCACTGTTGAGAACCACTGCTATGAGTCAACCTTATTTCAAAGAAGGCCACGTTTGGAGCAGTGACTAGAACAAGGATGTGCGTTTACACGTTCAGTCAGCAAACGCGTACTGCATAGGGCTTCTGTGAACCAGGTCTCCAGAGTCCTGGTCTGTCACTCCTTCCCTAAACCATTAGGAACCTAAAGACCCCCATGGCTTTCCCTGGCTACATATCTGTAACTTGAAGGTCACCTTCCTTTCATCACCACTCCCAGAGGCTTGGAAGGTCCTAGTGCCTCAGCTGTGTGAGTTTGTGTGTCTGAGTCTTCTTTAGTGGCCTGGAAGGAGGCCGGTGAGTTAGGCAGGGCAGGGTCTTTCACTCCCCCCCCCCCCCCCGCCGGCAGGGCTCAGCTGACCCTACCACCTTCTGCCTCCGAGATTAGGGAGGTGGCACTGATAGTTTGGGAGAGGGAGGGAAAGGGGGACTGGGGCGCCTACTCAGGCTCCGGCTGCCTCACCACAAGAAAGGAACAGGGTGAAGCGGCAGGAAAGGAGCCTCAGGCCCGGGCGGGGCGGCCCAGGAGGGGCTGGGCGGGAGCAGCGAGGCCTGGGACCCTAATAGCTTGTGGCGCCTGGGATCTGCTCCGGGGGCTGGGGGTTGGGAGACTAGGACGACCCAGGCTCCAGAGTGGCCTTCCCCGGCGGAGAGCCAGCGATCCCAGGCCTGGGATGCAGAGCTGCTACCGAGGCTTCAGGAAAGGATCCGGCGGGACGCACGTCCCCGGCCTCCCGCCTCCCCCAACGCGGGAAGGCGGGTGGGGACGCCCTTCTGCCCCATTCCACCTCTGCCTCTCCCGATCGCCGCGCTCCGGTGGTCGCGACTTTCGGCCTCCCGGTTCTCGGTTCCAGTCCTCCGGTCGTCCCAGTCGCTCCAGTTTCCCCAGTTCACAGCCTGCTCGGTCCCTCCAGTCTCTCCAGTCCGCCCGGTTTTCCCTCCTTCAGGCTCTCAGCCCCCCAGATCCTTTAGGACCACCCGCTCCCGGGGCCGGGCTCCCACAGGAGGCGGCAGCGCGTCCGGGGCGCGTTTCTCCGAAGGGATCCCCGTAGTGCGCGCCCCTGGCCACCCGGACCGGGCTCCTACC